GACTTGTATTTTGGTTTTGTTTTCATGAATAAAGGGATAATGGGGGCCACTTGAGATGAATGTGGCTACATCAATCAGTGTTAACCAAACTACCTCACTCTACCTTTTTGTAACTGTAACACTGAAAATTTCCCTGCACAAGTCCCAGCTGAAACTGTTTTGACTCCACTGCTGGGTTGAAATGATTTCCTGACACATTGTACTTACAACCATTTGCAGAATATTTCTGACTATCAGTCTGAAAGTTCAGGGGCTCAACATACTGATGGGACACCTTGGAATGAAAACATTCACAAATTAATTTACAGAAAATGTAATGACTTTTACAGGTCTATAAACAACTGCATGACATTACCAGGATCACTGTAATCCCTTATCTGTCTAGACGCCTGTAAAATGCCTTGGACTTTGCGACAAACATCCCTTTTTACATTGCAAGTCTAATTTTATTTCTTAGTATTCACACCAACTAAATTTAATCTCAGCCAATTTTCAAGTAGCAACTAGCTCCCAAAGCAGGACATTAGATAGATAGCATCACGTTACTGCTTGGCATGTACAGGGGTAGAGGAGGAAATGTTCTGTACCTAGTTAGGGGCACTTAGAATGCAAAAAATAATTAAATAAAATTTTAAAAATAATGAATAAGTAAGTAACAATTAATCACATGGGTACCATTTCAGACCCAAGTGAAGTCTTTTGCCAAACTGCCAAGTTATTAAGTAAAGCACCAAGTAACAATGAGGTCACCAATGCCTAGGATGGAATAGATTCTTTGAGTGGGTTGTCATCACATGTTACACATGCTGGAGTCCAGTTATCTGCTGTTATGCAGTTTTTTGCTAGAATCCAAAGTTTGTTTCAAAGAAAGCTCTTTGTTACAATTTAGTGTTTATGTAAAGAAAGAATTGACTTCATAAAGAGCTTTTCACAGCCTCTTGATGTCCCAAAATACTTTACAACCAATTAAGTACTTCTGAAGTGTAGACATATGTTGTAATGTAGGAAACTGGTCAGCCAGCCTTGCACACAGCAAAAAATTCCCACAATCAGTAACGCATTAATGAGTGGATAACACTGTAGTGATGTAGTTTGGACGCATCAAGAACTCCCAGGTCCTTGATTGAACGAGTGCCTTACCAACTTTTACACACATTCAAGGGATAGAGGAGGCTTTAAGTTTAATGTCTCATAGAAACAACCATGTCAGTCTGGAATATCTATTCATATCTGTCCCTCAGACAGTGCAACACTACAGTGTCAGTCTGGAGTACCTGTTCATATCTGTCTCTCAGACACAGCATCACTACAGTATCAGTCTTTACTACCTGTTCATATCGCTCAAGCCCAATGGAGTTCACAACTTTCTTACTCAGGTGAATACTACCATCTGTGCTTGTACATGGAATGAATATATTCTTTAGTCCAGAGCCAATAGGTATATTGGCACTGCTGACACTGTAGTATAGCACTGTCTGAGGGGCAGATATGAACAGGTAGTCCAGGTACTCATCTATTGTTAGACTAGTGATAATTAGTGGATTGGAGAGGTTCCCATGAGACCAATTTCAGAGAATGCCAGTGTACTGGTGTATTGTGTGGAGTTAGCCCTCTGAATAAGCAAGCATCGCGGCGTCTTCCTGCCACAGCGATGACAATGAACCTATTTGTCGCGTGTGTGTAATGTACATGAATTTGGCGCCTTTTAATGTTGCAAGATGCCTTCACAGGAAAAATTATCACCAAAATCTAGAATCTTCCCACAGGCAAAGCTTTTCAGAGGCACATTACCACTGTCAGTAAAAACAAAGCAAAAAGCAGTAACACCGAATAGATTACTCGTATAGAGAAAACAAATATTGCTTCATGATACATTTGACGACAGGTCTCTGCAGTACCCAAAGCAAGAGAGGTGAAAGCAACACATCATGGTTGACCCAAACATGAGAATGTATCTTAAACCGCACACATTCTAGATCCCGTCTGAAACACCATAATAATCCCTTTATGACAGTTTACAAATGACTGCTGTTCGACCAGACTCCGTGGTACAATTCGTACTGGCCCTTGCAAGGGGCTGGGATCGGTTAAAGTCACGGTTGAGATTTCGTCAATAAAAATACCGACTGTGCGATCATATCTGCGCGGAGAGCGAGGATCTGCTGTGCTTTAAATGGGGCAATTCGAAAAGTGACACAAACAAGAGGAAACATTGACACTGCCAGACACTGACTCGAGTACACTGGAGACATACTTCCGCCTAAAGCCTTTGGAAGATCAGTGACGTTTCCAACCCACACAGCTCTGCCGTGCACGTCAGCAGGAAAACATTACTTTAAAAAAAATAAGTAAAAGTCATGCTTCCTAAATTGGAGTTGCGTTCAGTCAGTGCATCGTTACTTCCTACGCACAGGTCCAGAGCCCAGGCTTACTCTACCCTGAGTGCAGCCAATATTCATCCGATCCCGGCCGCCACCCTTCAATGGAACTTCAGATGTTCCCTGTGATGGCAGGAAACAGCTGCCCAGCTCGGTTCAAGGCAATGCTAGTCTCCTCTCCAGTTCGGGTCCATATGCTGCAGAGAGCGGGTCAGATGCTTAATGTAAAGCTAGGATGATGCAGGAGATGGAACTCACAGAAAGAGAGAGACCGAAAGCATCCTTTCTTTAAAATATTAATCCAGAATGTAACTCCCTTCCACACAACATTCCCCCCCCCCCCGCGTCCCTGTAACCAGCCTTTTCGATAGGCCTACATCTCTCAGTACTCCAGATTCAGACACTGAAGCCTACCCACTTTAAAAACACAATAGCGTGAAGTGCCCCCAGCAATAACCGGTCGGTGATATGAAATATCAGCAAATTCAGATTGCATTATGTACTTGAGAGATAGTAGGAACTGCAGATGCTGGAGAAATCTGAGATAACAAGGTGTAGAGCTGGATGAACACAGCAGGCCAAGCAGCATCAGAGGAGCAGGAAGCCTTCCTGCTCCTCTGATGCTGTTTGGCCTGCTGTGTTTATCCAGCTCTACACCTTGTTATCTCTACATTATGTACTTGTCAGCACATTTCACAGGCCCTCTTAACATCCCAGACGGCGTTCTTTAATATATATATACACACGCATAAAAATCAGCTTTAAAATGATTGCAATCTCTTTTTGAAAACAAGAAAAAAAATTGGAATTAGCCCCCAAACAAAGATCAAAGACCTCACACTCTCGGTCCTAGGGCTGTGATTCAAAACATGTCAGTAGCCAAGAATATGTTTTTAAAAAGGAGATGGAGGAGGGGAGAGGGAGCATGTTTTGAAACACTGCCTCGGGTTTCTGTGATTGTTATTTTTGGGCCCCCTCCTTCAGCTCTGAGCTCCCATTCTGATCGGTTTCCTGGGAGCCAGAGTAAATGTGACGTACATTCAAGGCCATTGCCTTCTGCACGGAAACAGCGCAAAAAAAAACCCCCACCGTCACCTCGCTAAATGAATAAGTGTACACTTCTCCAACTTTAATCTGGGTGACTCAGTATTCCGTGGCTCCCAGAGTGCAGGCAATTTGCAAACTTCATTATCATAAACCCAGCCCCACACTGACACCGGGAGCCCACCACCATCCGCTCACAAACGCTGCTCGGTGTAACAAGGGGACGATTTTTTTGTGTGTGTGTGTGTCTCCTCCTGCTCCCAATCCACAAGTTTCGGAAGACTTAAACATGGCCCGGCTCCCTCCCACCCCCCGCCCTCACAGGCCAGCCCTCTTTGGTTACACACATCACAAAAAAATCAGTGCTAAAATGTTACAACCGAGAACCAATGGACGACAGGGGTTAACAACAAGCACTGGCCCGTTTCTATTTTAAAAAAAACACATCTGCAACAATGATTCTCTTGTGTGAAAATGAGAAATCAAAAAGAAATTAATCCAGTGGGTCAGAATGATCTTCCACCACGTCCTTATCCAACTTCACAACCCAAGATTAACTGGCCATTTCAAACACACACACATATTTGCTTGCCTAAAAAGACCAATTGCAGACGATCCTTAATACACAACAAGAAAGCAAAACACCGCTGCAGTTTGACAACAAAAACGCACCCCTTTCGAGTGCGTGTGCGCGCGCCAGGAAATTTAAAATTAACTAGAAGCCCTCGTTCCTTTAAAAAGACATTTAAATCTTCTTCGGTTCTCCCAGGTAACCTCCCCGCCTCAGACACTGATGACACCCCACTGATACGAGAGACAAAGAGGGGTTTATTGCTGGCTCCTTCAAAATCATCCACATTTTCAAAAAAAAAGCAAAAGAATCTCTGGCCACTACACGTCCACAAACAAGAGAGGGATTGAGAGGGTGAGTGACTGAGCGAGGGCGACACAAAAGCAATGTTTATAGAAGAGAGTTTATTGCTAGTTTCAAAAATAATAAAATCCTCTTTAATCCCTGCGCAGCCATTCCTAATCCTAGATAAACCAGCCTGCAGTTTCTCTCCCACCCCCCCCCCCTTCTTGAATCGGAAGCTGCTAACAGATTATTAATTACACAGATAAACTACAAGGTGCCAGACGCCGAGATGGATCACAATAGACAAAAACAGGAAATATATTTATACAGACACACACACACATATCTTTCGCAACATTTAGCGATTGTCACTGGAGAGAGTGCCCCCCCGGGGGAAATGATGCTGGACGAACCTATTGAGACTTCACTGCTTTTTTTTTAAAATCACACGAACGACAAACTCCCTCATTCTAGATTAATTCCGGTTATCCACGACGCGATGCTGCTTTCTAAAGGGATTCTGTTTAGCCGCTCTCAGCTCCTACTATTCTTCGGAGATTTCTAACTAAGAACCTACACAGGATCAGTCTCTCTCTCTCTCTCTCCGCCGATTCTCTTTCTTTCAATCTTTAAGTTGACCTTAGCAGCAGACAAGCCCGTGCGGAAGATTTCGTCCCTTTATTTTTAGGTAAAAATAAAAGCCAAGTTGGGATTGTACTTACCGAGATGTGCTGCTCCATGCGAGGTGCTTCAACCCGCTGAGAGACCAGCAGCATCTTGCAATGTTCGCTCCGGCTTAAAATCCACTTTGCACAAGAGTAACGGAATATTGCTACTGCCCTGCTCAAGTCTCAGACAAGTTCATTCCACGGCTTGTTACGCTGAGCGAGCAGCTGCTGGTAATTCTGTGTGTGTCTCACTCACTCACTTACTCTCTCTCTCTCCCCCTGAATCGTGGGCCGACTACATTAACATCAGCCCACGGCTTCCTGAGTAGCAGGCGGATCTGAGCACTCAGCTCGGTCTCGATAGGGCAGCTCCGGCACCGCGTCAAGGAGGGAGGCCGGCACCAGGGAGATCGCAAAGGGGAGGGCAGAGGGATAGGATGGATGTTCGCCACTGAGTTTCACAAGACAGTCTCCTTGAAAAGCACTCTGGGCACCGTAGTCCTGCGAAGGAGCGTAAGGGAGAGGCGGGAATGAATCATAAGAGTCATAGAGCTGCACAGCGTCGAAACAGACCCTTCGGTCCATGCCGACCAGACATCTAATGTAGTCTCATTTGCCAGCATTTGGCCCCTAAACCCTTCCTATTCATGTACCCATCCAGACGCCTTTTAAATGTTGTAATTGTACCAGCCTCCACCACTTCCTCTGGCAGCTTATTCCACACACCCACCACCCTCTACGTGAAAAAGTTGCCCCTCAGATCCCTTTCAAATCTTTCCCCTCTAGTTTTGGACACCTCAACCCTGGGGAAATGACTTTTGACTGTTTGCCCTATCCATGCCCCTCATGATCAAAAGTCAGGAGGAAAATTCCAAAGGGCTGGATGCAGTTGTGGGGCTGGATGAGGCCGCTAACCGTGGACACGGCAGGAAAGGAAGACCTTCATTTGCATAGCGCCTTTCACAAGTTGTAGGTGGCTGATGAGTTACCATCACTGATGGATGCCAGAAAGGCAGCAGCTAGTTTGTGCACAGCAGGATCCCCCAGACAGGAGTAATGACAAATGCTGGGTAGTATGTTTTGGAGGATTATATACTGGCCAAGACACAATCATTGATTTATTACAGAACAGAAAGAGGCCATTCAGTTCATTGTATCTGTGCTGGCTCTGAAGGATCAATTCACCTCAAGCCACCTTTCCTCTGTAACTTTTCCCCCTTGTCAGATAGTAATCCAATTCCATCATTGACCCCACTTCTATCATACAGGCAATGCATACCAGACCCAAACCACTCACTGTGTGAAGAAGACTTTCCCTCGTGTTGCCAAACCTTCTTTTGACAATTACCTTGAGTATGTGCCCTCTGATCCTTAATCCTTCCACCAATGGGAACTGCTTGTTCTGATCTACGCTTCCACCGTGATCAATAATGGTTTAAATAACTGAAATAAAAACTGAAAGTAGTGGAGAAACTCAGCAAGTCTGGTAGCATCTGGGGCAAAAAAAAGTTAACATTTTGAGTTGGATTTAACTCTTCAAAATTATATCAAAACATCATTATTAAGGGTGTTCGTGCACCCTAGCCCCATGGTGTCCACTGGTCTTTAGAGGCTTCTATTATGTCAGTGAATTGCTCATGCCCACCTTTAAAGCACACCCAAGTGCATTCTGCCATTCTCCCTATTCAAATCCTCTGTTATTTTAAATATCTCTCTCAAATATCTTTTTAATCTTCTCCTGAGAATACCAGGTCCAGCTTCTCCAATCTACCGACCTCATCCTTACAACCAAGAGTCTTTTTGCATTCTCTCCCTCCAAAAGTGTATTGCCCAGGACTGGAAATAATATTCTAGTTGACGTCAATTCAGTGATTTCTATAGTTTTAAAACAAATTCCTTGCTTTTGTACTCTATGCACCTGCTGATAAAGCTCAGGATACTGTCTGCTTTATTAACCATACTTTCAATTTGCCCTGCCACCTTCAATAAAAGCAAAATACTGCAGATGCTGGGAATCTGAAACAAACACAGAGGAACGTAACAGGTCTGGCAACATCTGTGAGGAGAGAAAGAAAGTTAGCATTTCGAGTCCGCTATGATTCTTCTTAGAATTCCACCTTCAGTGATCCGTGTACATAAATCTTCTGGATTTCCTTTAAAAGTCAACACTTTAATTTATATTGTCTCTTGGCATGACTCCTACTAAGATTAATCATTTCACATTTCTCTGTGTGAAATTTCATCTGCCACTTGTCCACCAAATCCACCAACCCTTCTGTGAATTTTGAAGTTCCACACTATCCTCCTCCATGGTTGACAACATGGTTCATATCATCTGCAAAGTTAGCACAGTAATTGTGTCCTTAAACTAAAGTTCAAGGTAGTAAGAACATAAGAAATGGAAGCAGCAGTAGGCCAGTCAACTTCTTAACCTTGTTCCACTGTTGAATAAGATCATGGCTGATCTGGTTGTGGTTTTAACTCCGTCTTCCCACCTGTCCCCCTTTATCATTGACTCCCTTGTCAATCCAAAGTCTGTGTCATTCAGCCTTGAATACACTTGATGATGCAGCTTCCATTGCTTTTGGGGATGAAACATTTGCTGACCATCAAATTCACAATGCAAGAAATTCCTCCTCATCATCATCATAAATGGGAAGCCCTTGGATGGACACTTTGCCCACCTTTTCTAGATTCCACCACAAGGAGAAACAACCTGTCAGCATCAGACTTGTCAAGCCTGGGCAACATCTTATAAGTTTCAATGTGATCACACTTCATGCTTCTAAACTCCATAGGGTTCATCTGTTCAACTTTCCACATAAGACAAACACTTTAATCCAAGCATAGTTTAGTGAGCTTCTCTGAACTGTTTCTAGTGTCAGTATATCCGTCCTTAAATAAAGCGTCCAAAACTGTATATCCTTCTCCAGGTGTGGTCTCACCAATGTAGAATTGTGGCAAGACTTCCCTACTTCTATAATCCATTTCTCCTTGCAACAAAGGCTATCATCCTATTTTCCTTCCAAAGTACTTGTTGAACCTGTATACTGACGTTTTGTGATTCATATACAAGGACACTTAGTTCTTTCTGCCCTGCAGCATTCTGCAGATTCTCTCTTTTCAAATAACGTTCTGCTTTTCTATTCTGCCAGAATGGATAACCCCACATTTCCCCACATTATATTCCACCTGTCAAGTCTCTCTTCATTTACTCACTCAGTCCATATCCCTAATCAGGCTCTTAGTATTGTCCTCATAGCTCACTTTCCTACCTGTCTTTGTATCATCAGCAGTGCAGTTGGTCCTGTCATCCAAGTCATTAATATAAATCAAGAATAGTTAAAGACCTAGGGTTATCCCTAATACAATACATTTGCTGGAGTTTGCCATCCTGAAAATGACCCATTTATCCCAACTCTTTGTGTCCCATTATTTAGGAGTCCTCTATCCATACTAATGTAGTCCCCTGACACCATAAGCTCATACCTTATGAAGAATTCTAGTAAATTTGTCAAACATTGTTTCATTAATATATCAGGAAGAGAATGGATTCTAACATTGATCTCTGGAGAACTCAGTATAAACCTTCCTTCAGATCAAGCAATAACCATTTACCACTACAGGCTGTTTGCACAATACACAATCCATGTTGCTACTGTTCCTACCTTCCGTGAGCCCTAACTTTACTGTCAAGTAGCAGCTTACTGAATGCCTTTTGGAAGTGCATGTAGATTATATCAACAGCATGATGGACATGAAGAATATTTCCCCAACTTCTCTTGGTGAGAGTGTCATGGAACCATTTTTGTCTACTTGAGAGGGCAGACAGAGCATTGGTTTATTATCTTATGAGAAAGATGGCATGTGTAGTCTCATGGCACCATCACCTACCCCAGCACACCCCACCCACCACCCACCCAATACTGCACTGGAGTGTCAATCTAGATTTTTATGCTAATCTCTATTGAATAGGACTTAAACCTACAAATTTACTTCAAGGTGAAGTTAGCCTAGTATGGGGGAGAAAGGAACAAAAAGATATTTTGATGGGGTGAGTAGTAGTAGGTTGGGAAGAGGCTAAATTGGAGGCTAGATGCTAGTATAGACTGGTCAGGCTGATGACCTGTTTCTGTGTTGTTAATACTTTGCAATTCCCTCTTCCATTCCAAAATCTTGATGTTATGCTTCAGGCCTTTATTGATTGGAGGGCACTGCAGGTTATAATCTGTGTTTTATTTACTATTTATTCATGAGATTGCTCAACCCCAGTTGCACTGGAGAAAGTGAAGGCAGCTACCTTTCTGTAGCTTTTGTGGTGTGGGTACTCCCATAGCACTGCTAGGGAGGGAGGTTTTGACCCAGCATCATGTGAATGTTCCAAGTCAGGGCGGTGTGTGGTTGGAGGAGAAATTGTTAGTCGTGTTATTCTCATGCCCTTGTCCTTTTAGGTGGTAGAAGTTGCAGGTCTGAAAGTGACTGTCAAAGGAGCCTTGACACATGGCTGCAGTGTGTCTGGTAAATGGCTCCCAATGCAGACATACCATATCAGTAGTGGACAGAATGAATGTTGAAGATAGTGGATGAAATAACACAAAGAATAATGTGATAGATCAGTTGAGGGGCCACCCATTTGCTTTTATTGAGAATTTTACTTTTGTTTCGGGTGGGAAACTTTTAGGTTGATTGGATCGTTCATTTCTTCCTTATATTTGTGGTGCCTTAAAAGGGCAAATTGTTCTGTTGATTCTTGTTTGGTGACACTAGGGCAACCCTTGTTGGCCTGTGAAAATAGACCAAAGCCTCTAGTTTGGAACAGGGAACAGATAGCTCATTAATGCTGGAGCTGAGAGCCAAATCTTTAAAGATCTGAGTGTCCCTGATTCCAGATGACTTGGAATCCATCCACCAGTCTGCCTGGCTGGTCAACAGAAAATATTTTTCCAGAAGAGCCTCACATTCTCAGATATTTAACTGTCGGAGTTTTTACATTTAGTAAGTGCTTGTTTCAGAGTCAGGTTGTGTAATCTGCCCAAAGGGTTGTGCATAAGCAAGTTATGGGAACTTTCTCTCTTGTTTTGAGAGGATTAACAAAATAAAGAGTTTACATTTCTATCACACCTCTCTCAACTTCAGGCCCTCCCAAAGGACTTTGCAGCCAATTATTTATGAAACGTTGTCACTGTTGTAATGTAAGATACACAGCAACTCACCAAGACTTTTTTGACAGTACTTTCCAAACCTGGGACCTCTACAACCACTGCTTGAAAGGTTTCTTCCAAGTCAAATACCGTTCAGGCTCAGAATTATATCGCTGTTGCTTCAGTGTTGTTGGGTCAA